TTATAATTATGGATTAATAAATACTGCATATACCTACGATAGAGAAGAACTAATCGGTATACCAGAATTATACAAAGCATTAATTATATATAAAAGAGTAACCAAAGGAAATTTATTCTATGTAAAATTCTATACGGCGACAGCAGAAATACAACATGAAGAGATAAAACCTCCGATCCAAGTTATGAAGATAGGCCAGATCAAAGATATGATAATACCAGAAGATATTGGAGAACAACCAGAAATACAAAAAATCGAGATACCTAATTTTTATGACAATAAAAGAATAATTGGTATATCAACTATAATACAAGAACTAGCCAACAATTATTTGAATGGAAATGTTATATGGAGTTACTATTCCAGAGATCAATTAATGATTTATGCCAACTCAAGGGAACTAAGGAAATCACATATGGATAAAGTTCAGAAATGGATTTTTATCATTATTAAAACCAGAAGAAAGACTTACAACAAGAGCATTAAAAACAGGATTTAATTCCTCAGAACTTTTAACCAGCTATTGTAAGCTAATTGGACACAAATATCCTGACCATATATGTTCAAAATATAATGGAGAAGACAATGTGATTCCCGATGTCCAGTTAGAATAAAGTCTAAAGAGATAAGAAGATAAGGCAAAGAAGACAAAGAAGATGGAGACAAAGAAGATAGAGACAACTAAAGAGATAAGGCAAAGAAGACATATTTGGCAAAAATAGTACTATGTAAAAAAGTCATAAAGTAAATAGTTCTATGTAAAAAAGTCATAAAGTAGGTGCATTATTGTGCATTATTGTAGAGTAAGTAGTATAGTACGTGCATTATTGTGCATTATTGTAGTATAGTACGTGCATTATTGTGCATTACTGTAAAATAGTCATAAGATAGAAATTCCTTTCTATATAAGGGAATGTACAAGTAACATAATAAGCAAGTCTTCAATAAACGAAGCAAGCTTTCATTAAAACACTCTCCCAAATATTTAAAATATTCATACATAATAGATAATGGAGCACCCTCAGATATCATGGATAAACAAGAGGCAAAGGTATATTGTTCAACAAACATACATAACTAATTTCATATATTCCTGAATATCATATATATGATTGAATAAATTTATGTTAGTTATTATATATTAGAATTATTTGAATCATAGTTTCTAGTTTATTAGCACAATGAAAACCGGGAGAAAACTTCTATACTATGCCATCCTAATGTTGAAACCGGTAGGCGAGGAAAGCCGTTAGAGGAGTAAACAAAGTTGAGCTGCTGATAAGAAGAAAGTATCTGCGAAAGTACGATGCTATTAGTGACATGAGAACATGATAAACAAATAATCTAGTTCATAATGATCTAATATGAATTTAATCAATTATGAATATGATAGAAAGGAATAATTGAAAATAAAAACCTGCATGATAAAGAACGTGACTACATACATGCATGATAACATAATAAAAAACTATGAAACTTTAATCCTATATATACTTAAAGGTATAGAGATAATTGAATTAAGAAGAATCATATGGAAAAATATATTTAATGATAACGAATCAGAAGATATATTAAACTAACAATGGTATGAAATAGACCAAATGATTTAGACCTTGAAAGAATAAAATGATATGATTTAGAAATAAATTCGTATTAAATTGAACTACGAATATTTACAATATTGGACAGAAGTTGTGGAAAACATAAAACTATTAGAACAATTAATGAAAAATAATTTATATATGTACCAAAGAACCCAAGATATGTTGTATCTAGAATATATCATAAATAATATTAAAGAGATATCAAGACTAAGACACTTAGCAAAAGAATATTATAATAAAACCTTTAAGATGGATTCCTCACCTACCAAAAATGGTACACCTACCAAAAATGTCATGAATTCCCCACCTACCACACTACCAAAAATATCATGAATTCCTCACCTACCAATAAGATGAATTCCGTAACGAAAAATGGTATCATAGCCATTGTTATATCAATGGAAATCACTCAAAAAAAATTCTATCTCCATCTTCATTACTTTTTTGATTTTTTGAAATTGGGATTAATATGATTATTTTACTATAGACCATAAAATTTGATTTTTAATTTTATGTCTTGAAAGATAAGTAACTAGTATTGAGGGTAAAACATGATTTTTTTTTCTTGATATTTTAAAAGAAAAAATCTATTTTTAGAATACCGAACAAGTAAAGTTAAGTGAATGGAGAGAATATTAAATAATTAATAACTATGGTCACATTATCATGCATTGAATTCTGTTTGTTCACTAATTCACACAAATATTCATCACATATGAAGATTGACATTTTATTCTCGAAGCCACTGTTCGATCACTAGCTTTCAATCACAAGTTAAATAACTATAATATAAACATCTTTCAATGGACTCCTGTTGTTGGGATGGGGCACAGGGGAATTAACAAGTTAAATTAAAGGATATATTAAAGAAGAAGGGTATTTTCGATATGGAGGGAAAAAACTATTTTATAGTATAGTTTAATTTTTTTTCCTACTTGACGGGTAATTCAAATTCATAATGCATGTAATAGTTAGCAAATAGTGAAAATTGATCTTATAATTTAGTTCAGGTGTGGTGGTTGTTAGTTTAAAAATTCAGTTTAGTAAATTAGAGTTTCGTTATACGTTAAGTTTGTCCTAGTGTTTAGGAAATAATTTTAAACGTGGACAACTATCTAGTTTTAGGAGTGTAGTTCCTAATTTTTAGCTTCAGGTTGTTTTGCTTATAAACGATTGTAATTGCAGCTTTCAATTATTCAGTCAAAAAAATTCCTTCGATTATATTGCCTTCTCTCTTCTCTATCGTCTTTCAACTTACAAATATATATTTCTTGATACTGTTTTATCTATCAGTGGTATCAGAACCGAGTGAGATCCAAAAAGAAAGAAAAAACAGAGAGAAATATTGCTAGTTTATGGCTTCATAGAGCAATTACGTTCAAGCAGCTATACCGCATTTTTTATGGTCACTATGACCATTGGAGTATGCTGATAGAGAACTTCTTACGGTCAATGGAGTATTGGCCAATTGGCGAGGATGGACTCGGAGCTCCGCCGGAAGGCGAAGCCTTAATGAATGCTCAAAAGGCGGAGTTCGAAGCAAGAAAGTTAAAAGATTTGAAGGCAAAGAATTATCTCTTTCAGGCTATCGATCGTCCCATCCTAGAAACTATTCTTTGCCAAGAAACTTCTACTGATATTTGGGATTCAATGAAGAAAAAGTATCAAGGTACTGCTAGAGTAAAGCGTGCAAAGCTTCAAGCCTTGAGTAGGGATTTTGAGACGTTGCAGATGAAGGAAGGAGAGTCTGTAATGAGTTACTGCGCTAGAACAATGTAGATTAGCAACAAAATGCGATTTCATGGTGAAAAGGTGACTGATGTCACAATTGTGGAAAAGATATTGCGCTCCCTGACGCCAAAGTATGTCTATGTCGTTTGCTCCATTGAGGAGTCAAAAGATATAGACGAGTTATCGCTTGACGAATTGCAAAGTTCTTTATTGGTACATGAGCAAAAAATGAAATACAGTTCATCTTCCGAAGAGCAGGCTTTGAAGGCTTCTACTAATACTCGTTTCTTAAATTATAGAGGAAGGGGTAGAGGTAGAGGAAGAGGAAAGGGAGATCGAGGATATAGAGATGAAGGCCACAAAGACAGCAGTAGGAATTTCAGAGCCAATGATGACCACGGTAAAGGCAGAGAAAGGAATTTTGACAAATCAAAAGTAGAATGTTATCAATGTCATTCTAAAAATGGGTTTTCAAAAGTGTCCATATGAGCATACACTTTTTGTGAAGATTGGGGATGATGCGAAAATGCTTATTGTATGCTTATATGTTGATGATCTTATACATACTTGGAATGATAGTGCCATGTTTGCTGAATTTAAGAAGTCTACGATGGATGAGTTCGAGATGTTTGATCATAATATCTCCCTTTCCAAATGCACTCACAGTGGAAGAATCACCAAAACTAAGCTAGCGTTTGGCCATAGATTTCTAAATATTCTCGGCAAATATTATTTGGGTGAAAATTTGGGTGAAATTTCACCATGTGTTTGGCCATAGTATTTGGGAAGTATATTTCATTTTTTTAGAAAAATATGATTTATACCCATAAATTTAAAAAACTATCAAAACTAACCATAAGTTTGTTTTACAAGTCAATTGAATTTTCATTGCAACAATAACAAATAGCGTCCATGACACTAGAGCAATGTGGTAGTTTGGAATGAGTGCAACAAGCAACATTCCATACATCGTGAAGTAGACAAATCACATCACTTTGTTACCCTGAGCCGATTGTTCATCATTTTCATCAACAACCATATCATCATTTAATATTCACTGAATATTTCATCACTACTTTGGTGTTCACGTGAAAAATTATGTAATATGACACAAACAAATACTATAGAGGGTGTTTTTGTAAAAGATAAAAATTTGGGGTAACATTTCAATTTTCACAAGATCCCAAATAATGAGATTTGGCCTAAATACTAGAAAAAACTAGTATTTGGGAATTTGGGATATTTGTCAAAAATATTTGCCAAATAATGGCAAATTGTATGGACAAACACTATTTACCAAATTTTTTCCCAAATGTTATTTGGGAAATCTATGGCCAAACGGGCCCTAATTGTTGAATGGAAGTCTTCATTCAAAGAAGAAAAAGAATTCTTACTTCCACACATGTGATTGCTGCAGCCTGTATCCAAATATCAAACGTTTTGTTCAGGTTCCTTCTCTACTTGGACTGCCATCAACAATGTTTCAACTTCGTTACTTTCAACAAAATTTGACTTCTCATCATTGTCATTAGGCAGCCTGGTTTAACATTCAGACTTATAATGACCAAATTTATGACATCGATAACATTTTACTTTTGATTTGTCAAAATTCCTTCCTCTGCCTTTACCGTGGTCATCATTGGCTCTGAAATTCCTACTGCCGTCTTAGCTGCCTTCATCTCTATATCCTCGATCTCCCCTTCCTCTTCCTCTACCTCTACCACTTCCTCTAAAATTTGAGAAATGAGTATTAGTAGATGTCTTCAAAGCCTGCTCTTCGGAAGATGTACTGCGGTTCATTTTTTCCTCATGTACCAATAAGGAACTTTGCAATTCGTCAAGCGATAACTCGTCTATATCTTTTGACTTCTCAATTGAGGAAACGACATAGTCATACTTCAGCGTCAGGGAGCGCAATATCTTTTCCACAATTGTGACATCAGTCATCTTTCCACCATGAAATCGCATTTTGTTGCTAATCTCCATTGTTCTAGCGTAGTAACTCATTACGGAATCTCCTTCCTTCATCTGCAACGTCTCGAAATCCCTTCTCAAGCCTTGAAGCTGTGCACGCTTCACTCTAGCAGTACCTTGATATTTTTCTTCATCGAATCTCAAATATCCTTAGAAGTTTCTTTGCATAGAATAGTTTCTAGGATGGGACGATCGATAGCGTGAAAGAGATAATTCTCTGCCTTCAAATCTTTCAACTTTCTTGCTTTGAACTCCGCATTTTGAGCATTCGTTAAGGCTCCCCCTTTCGCCGGAGCTCCGAGTCCATCCTCGACAATTGGTCAATACTCCTTTAACGTAAGAATTTCTGCATCAGTATACTCCAATGGTCATAGTGACCATTAAAACGCAGAATAACTGCTTGAACGTAATTGCTCTCTGAAGTCATAAACTAGCAATATTTATCTGTTTTTTTTTCCTTTTTGGATGTCACTCGGCTCTGATACCACTGATAGATAAAACAGTATCAAGAAATATATATTTGTAAGTTGAAAGACGATAGAGAAGAGAGAAGACAATATAATCGAAGGAATTTTTTTGATTGAATAATTGAAAGCTGCAATTACAATCTTTTATAAGCAAAACAACATGAAACTAAAAATTAGAAACTACACTCCTAAAACTAGATAGTTGCCCACGTTTAAAATTACTTCCTAAAGACTAGGACAAACCTAACGTATAACAATACTCTAATTTACTAAATTGAATTTTTAAACTAACAACCACCACACCTAAACTAAATTATAAGATGAATTTTCACTATTTGCTAACTATTACATATATTATGAATTTGAATTACCCGTCAAGTAGAAAAAAAAATTAAACTATACCATAAAATAGTTTTTTTCTTCCATATCGAAAATACCCTTCTTCTTTATTTATCCTTTAATTTAACTTGTTAATTCCCCTGTACCCCATCCCAACAACAGGAGTCCATTGGAAGATGTTTATATTATAGTTATTTAACTTGTGATTGAAAGCTTGTGATCGAACAGTGACTTCCAGAATAAAATGTCAATCTTCATATTTGATGAATATTTGTGTGAATTAGTGAACAAGCAGAATTTAATGCATGATAATGTGATCCTAGTTATTAATTATTTAATATTCCCTCCATTCACTTAACTTTACTTGTTCAGTATTCTAAAAATAGATTTTTTCTTTTAAAATATTAAGAATTTTTTTTAAAAAATCATGTTTTACCCTCAATACTAGTTACTTATCTTTCAAGACATAAAACTATACATCAAATTTTATGGTCTATAGTTAAATAATCATATTAATCACAATTTCAAAAAATCAAAAAAGTAATGAAGACGGAGATAGGAAATTTTTCGAGTGATTTCCATTGATGTAACAATGGCTCTGATACCATTTTTCGTTGTTACGTCAATGGAAATGGTATCAGAGTTATGGATGAAAATAAATATAAGAAGAAATATACTAGTAGAGAGCTAAGAAAAATAAAAAAAAATTAAACAAATTATATCTAGAATACAAACAACTCAATATTACAAAAACTGATAACGACAAATTAGATCAATTAATAGATAGTATATCTAAAATAGAATATAAATATATATTCAATATTTAAAAATACAATGAATAACGAGAATAAAATAAATAAATAAAATAAAAATAGAGAATCATTTTGAAAGAATAGTCACAGTCATAGATAATAATGACTATAGTTATAATGAGATTGACATAAAAGAAGATATAGAAATAGTAAAAGAAAGGTTAAGCACATAAAAAAAAAAAAACACAAACTATGAAATACAACAAATATCATAAAAAATGTGTACCTCAAAAAGAATATATAAAAATCCACAAAAACCAAAAGATAATTGGGAAAAAATAAAAACGCCGATAGTAGTAACAGGATTTAATAATGAGTGAAGCATGATCACATATAAGGCAAAAAATATAAAAATACAAATATGGTATAAGATATTAACTATAGAAGAAATATATAACTTTGATTTGACCACAAAAAATATGCTATTAGAAATGCCATTTTTAGAAAAATTATACCCACATATAATCATAAAAAAAACACTGGTTCACAACACCATGTAAACAAAATATAGGAGCAAAAAGAGTAAATAACCAAAAACGAAAAACAACAGAATGGATAAAAGGAAGTGAAAAAATTACAAAAAAATTAGAAAATATAAAAGAAGAAGTCCCTAAAATAGAATTAATTATATTCTTTATAGACAAAGTAAAAATAATCCAAGATAAATTAGAATTATTATATAGTGAAGATCATTTACAAGGATGGGAAAAAACATAAAATAAAAGTAAAAATTGGGCTAATTGATAATAATAGTATAATAATCCAAAAACCATTAAAATATAATTTTAATGATTTAACAGAATTTAAGATACATATAAGTGAATTACTAGAAAAAGGGTATATACAAGAAAGCAATAGTAAGCATACAAGCCCATCCTTTATAGTAAATAAACATAGTAAACAAAAAAAAGGAAAAAGTAGAATGGTTATTGATTATAGAAATTTAAATGCAAAAACTAAAACATATAATTACTCAATACCAAATAAAATACTAAAAATAAGATAAATACAAGGATATAATTACTTTAGTAAATTTGACTGCAAATCAGGATTTTATCACTTAAAGATAGAAGAAGAATCTAAAAAACTTACAGCATTTACAGTACCACAAGGATTTTATGAATGAAATGTTTACCATTTAGATATAAAAATGCACCAGATAGATATCAACACTTTATGGATAACTATTTTAAACAATTAGAAAATTATATAGTATATATTGATGATATATTATTATATTCTAAAATACAAGATGAACATATAAGGTTATTAGAAAAATTTATACATATCATTGAATACTCAGGTATAAGCCTAAGTAAAAAGAAAGCAGATATAGTGAAAAAGCAAATAGAATTCTTAGGAATACAAATAGATAAAAATGGAATAAAAATGCAAACACATATAGTACAAAAAATAATTAACTCAAATGAACAACTAGATACGAAAAAGAAATTACAATCATTTCTAGGACTAGTAAACCAAGTAAGAGAATACATACCAAAATTAGCAGAAAATTTAAAACCATTACAACAAAAATTAAAGAAAGACATAGAATACCAGTTTGATAAAAAAGACCAAACACAAATACAAAAAGTAAAACCATTATGTAAGAACCTACATAAACTATATTTTCCGGATGAAAACAAAAAATTTACTTATATAGTAGAATCAGATGCCAGTGAAAAAAGTTATGGAGTAATCTTAAAATACGAGTATGATGGAAAAAAAATAGAATATCGTTGTAGATATTATTCAGGAACATTTACTAATACAGAAATAAAATGGGAAATAAACAGGAAAGAATTATATTCAATCTATAAATGTTTATTATCATTTGAACCATATATTGTATATAACAAATTTATTATAAGGACAGATAACACACAAGTAAAGTGGTGCCTAACAAGAAAAATACAGGATTCAGTAACTACTAAAGAAATAAGAAGATTGATATTAAATATATTAAATTTTACATTTACTATTGAAGTAATAAAAACTGACAAGAATGTTATTGCAGATTATTTATCAAGACAAAGCTACTCAAACTGAGAAAGAAAATACAATTGAAGAGATACTCAAAGCCATTACTACACTTTATATAAAAGTGGACAATATGGACAATGAGATACAATACCTAAAGATTAATGAAGATAATCTGAAGTCTAAAGCTAGTACAAGTTAGCAGCATGACTATAAAAATGCGGAGCTAAGTCGATCGGAAGACTTTAAAAATCTAGAGCTAAGAGGTGACGTTGGGAAACACCTTAAAACCCATAATATTTGTTTAAATACAGTTGCAGGTATGAATAAACCAGTTAATGAAAAACAGCGAAATGGAAATTTAAATCAGTTATGTGAAAAAACCATTTAGACAAAAAGAAAAAAACCCATTAACCATAGAACCTCAAACTTCAACGTATGCAGATAGCCTACAACATGAGGAAAAGGTATATAACCAAATCACGAGGACATACATCGAAAATATATACAAAATACAGAGTTACCTAATCCTCAATTCCAGATCTACCACTACAAAAGATCCAAACCAAGACTACATAACCCCGAAATTACAAGGATACAACAAACTAATTGCACAGCCAAAAATCAATGCTAACCTAGTTAAAGCATGTTATAATTATGGATTAATAAATACTGCATATACCTACGACGGAGAAGAACTAAGCGGTATACCAGAATTATACAAAGCATTAATTATATATAAAAGAGTAACCAAAGGAAATTTATTCTATGTAAAATTCTATACGGCGACAGCAGAAATACTACATGAAGAGATAAAACCTCCGATCCAAGTTATGAAGATAGGCCTGACCAAAGATATGATAATACCAGAAGATATTGGAGAACAACCAGAAATACAAAATATCGAGATACCTAATTTTTATGACAATAAAAGAATAATTGGTATATCAACTATAATACAAGAACTAGCCAACAATTATTTGAATGGAAATGTTATATGGAGTTACTATTCCAGAGATCAATTAATGATTTATGCCAACTCAAGGGAACTAAGGAAATCAAATATGGATGAAGTCCAGAAATGGATTTTATCATTATTAAAACCAGAAGAAAGACCTACAAAAAGAGCATTAAAAGCAGGATTTAATTCCTCAGAACTTTTAACCAGCTATTGTAAGCTAATTGGACACAAATAACCTGACCATATATGTTCAAAATGTAATGGAGAAGACAATGTGATTCCCGATGTCCAGTTAGAACAAAGTCTAAAGAGATAAGAAGATAAGGCAAAGAAGACAAAGAAGATGGAGACAAAGAAGATAGAGACAACTAAAGAGATAAGGCAAAGAAGACATATTTGGCCAAAAAAGCCAAAAGCAAATAGTATAAAGTAAATAGTACTATGTAAAAAAGTAATAAAGTAAATAGTACTATTTAAAAAAGTCATAAAGTAGGTGCATTATTGTGCATTATTGTAGAGTAAGTAGTATAGTGCATGCATTATTGTAGTATAGTACGTGCATTATTGTGCATTACTGTAAAATAGTCATATGATAGAAATTCCTTTCTATATAAAGGAATGTACAAGTAACATAATAAGCAAGTCTTCAATAAATGAAGCAAGCTTTCATAAAAACACTCTCCCAAATATTTAAAATATTCATACATAATAGATAATGGAGCAACATTCAGATATCATGGATAGGCAAGAGGAAAAGGTATATTGTTCAACAAGCATACAGAACTAATTTCATATATTCCTGAATATCATATATATGATTGAATAAATTTATGTTATTTATTATGTATTAGAATTATTTGAATCATAATTTCTAGTTTATTAGCACACTGAGAACAGGGAGAAAACTTCTATACTATACCATCCTAATGTTGAAACCGGTAGGCGAGGAAAGCCGTTAGGGGAGTAAACAAAGTTGAGGCGCTGATAAGAAGAAAGTATCCGCTAAAGTACGATGCTAGTAGTGACAGGAGAACATGATAAACAAATAATCTAGTTCATAATGATCTAATATGAATTTAATCAATTATGAATATGATAGGAAGAAATAATTGAAAATAAAAATCTGCATGATAAAGAACGTGACTACATACATGCATGATAAAATAATAAAAAATTATGAAACTTTAATCCTATATATACTTAAAGGTATTGAGATAATTGAATTAACAACAATCATATGGGAAAAAATATTTAATTATAACGAATCAGAAGATATATTAAACCAACAATGGTATGAAATAGACCTACATGATTTAGACCTCGAAAGAATAGAATGGTATGATTTAGAAATAAATTTGGATTAAATTGAACTACGAATATTTACAATATTGGACAGAAGCTATGGAAAACATAAAACTATTAGAACAATTAATGAAAAATAATTTATATATGTACCAAAGAACCCAAGATATGTTATATATAGAATATATCATAAATAATATTAAAGAGATATCAAGACTAAGACACTTAGCAAAAGAATATTATAATAAAATCTTTAAGATGGATTCCTCACCTACCAAAAATGGTACACCTACCAAAAATGTCATGAATTCCCCACCTATCATACTACCAAAAATATCATGAATTCCTCACCTACCAATAAGATGAATTCCGCAACGAAAAATGGTATCAGAGCCATTGTTACATCAATGGAAATCACTCGGAAAATTTCCTATCTCCGTCTTCATTACTTTTTTGATTCTTTGAAATTGTGATTAATATGATTATTTTACTATATACCATAAAATTTGATGTATAATTTTATGTCTTGAAAGATAAGTAACTAGTATTGAGGGTAAAACATGATTTTTTTTCTTGATATTTTAAAAGAAAAAATCCATTTTTAGAATACCGAACAAGTAAAGTTAAGTGAATGGAGGGAATATTAAATAATTAATAACTATGGTCACATTATCATGCATTGAATTCTGCTTGTTCACTAATTCACACAAATATTCATCACATATGAAGATTGACATTTTATTCTCGAAGCCACTGTTCGATCACAAGCTTTCAATCACAAGTTAAATAACTATAATATAAACATCTTCCAATGGACTCCTGTTGTTGAGATGGGGCACGGGGGAATTAACAAGTTAAATTAAAGGATATATTAAAGAAGAAGGGTATTTTCGATATGGAGGGAAAAAACTATTTTATAGTATAGTTTAATTTTTTTTGCTACTTGACAGGTAATTCAAATTCATAATGCATGTAATAGTTAGCAAATAGTGAAAATTGATCTTATAATTTAGTTCAGGTGTAGTGGTTGTTAGTTTAAAAATTCAGTTTAGTAAATTAGAGTTTTGTTATACGTTAAGTTTGTCCTAGTCTTTAGGAAATAATTTTAAACGTGGGCAACTATTTAGTTTTAGGAGTGTAGTTCAAATTTTTAGCTTCAGGTTGTTTTGCTTATAAAGGATTGTAATTGCAGCTTTCAATTATTCAGTCAAAAAAATTCCTTCGATTATATTGCCTTCTCTCTTCTCTATCGTCTTTCAACTTACAAATATATATTTCTTGATACTGTTTTATCTATCAGTGGTATCAGAACCGAGTGAGATCCAAAAAGAAAGAAAAAAATAGAGAGAAATATTGCTAGTTTATGACTTCAGAGAGCAATTACGTTCAAGCAGCTATACCGCATTTTTTATGGTCACTATGACCATTGGAGTATGCTGATGGAGAACTTCCTACGGTCAAAGGAGTATTGACCAATTGTCGAGGATGGACTCGGAGCTCCGGCGAAAGGCGAAGCCTTAATGAATGCTCAAAAGGCGGAGTTCGAAGCAAGAAAGTTGAAAGATTTGAAGGCAAAGAATTATCTCTTTCAGGCTATCGTTCGTCCCATCCTAAAAACTATTCTTTGCAAAGAAACTTCTAAGGATATTTGGGAGTCGATGAAGAAAAAGTATCAAGGTACTGCTAGAGTGAAGCATGCAAAGCTTCAAGCCTTGAGTAGGGATTTTGAGACGTTGCAGATGAAGGAAGGAGAGTCTATAATGAGTTACTGCACTAGAACAATGGAGATTAGCAACAAAATGCGATTTCATGGTGAAAAGGTGACTAATGTCACAATTGTGGAAAAGATATTGCGCTCCCTGACGCCAAAGTATGTCTATGTCGTTTGCTCCATTGAGGAGTCAAAAGATATAGACGAGTTATCGCTTGACGAATTGCAAAGTTCTTTATTGGTACATGAGCAAAAAATGAAATGCAGTTTATCTTCCGAAGAGCAGGCTTTGAAGGCTTCTACTAATACTCGTTTCTCAAATTATAGAGGAAGGGGTAGAGGTAGAGGAAGAGGAAGGGGAGATCGAGGATATAGAGATGGAGGCAGCAAAGACGGCAGTAGGAATTTCAGAGCCAATGATGACCACGGTAAAGGCAGAGGAAGGAATTTTGACAAATCAAAAGTAGAATGTTATCGATATCATAAATTTGGTCATTATAAGTCTGAATGTTATACCAAGCTGCCTAATGACAAGGATGAGAAGTTAAATTTTGTTGAAAGTAACGAAGTTGAGACATTGTTAATGGCAGTCCAAGTAGAGAAGGAACCTGAACAAAACGTTTGGTATTTGGATACAGGCTGCAGCAATCACATGTGTGGAAGTAAGTATTCTTTTTCTTCTTTGAATGAAGACTTCCGTTCAACAATTAGTTTTGGTGATTCTTCCACTGTGAGTGCAATTGGAAAGGGAGATATTATGATTAGAACCAAGAATGGTTTTGAAGAAACGATCTCAAATGTGCTATATGTTCCTGCTTTGAAAAGTAATCTGCTAAGTGTTGGTCAATTGCAAGAAAAAGGATATGTTATAACTATTGAGAAAGGTGCATGTGAGATTTATAATCCTACTAGAGGTTGTTCCCGCTGAAGATAGAGAATATTCACCATTGTTTGAAAGCAGAAGTTAGAGATTCGTCATGGTTGTGGCATTTTAAATATGGTCATTTGGGTTTTGGCGGATTAAAAGTTCTCCAACAAAAAAATATGGTGATAGGTCTTCCTAAAATTACAATTCCATCGCAAGTTTGTGAGGAATGTGTTGTTGGCAAACAACATCGTTCTCAATTTCCGAAAGGAAAGTCGTGGAGAGCCAATGATGTTTTGGAGCTGATACATTCGGACATTTGTGGCCCAATCAAACCAGCTTCTAATGGAGGTAAACGATACTTTATTACGTTTACTGATGATTTTTCTCGAAAAACTTAGGTTTATTTTTTACATGAAAAATTTGAGGCTTTTAAAGCATTTAAAAGCTTCAAGGTTCATGAAGAAAATGAGACGGGAAAGAAAATCAAGACTCTTCGAACAGATCATGGTGGCGAGTATTGCTCTAAAGTTTTTGATGATTTTTGTGAATTTGATGGCATTAGAAAAGAGCTTACAACAGCTTATACACCACAACAAAATGGTGTATCGGAGAGAAAAAAAAAACCATCCTCAATATGGTTCAGAGTTTGCTGGCAAAAGGAAGAGTGAAAAAAAGTTTTTGGCCAGAAGCGATAACTTGGAGTATTCACGTCTTGAACAAAAGCCCTACATTTTTGTTAAGAACATGACTCCAGAGGAGGCGTGGAGTGGAAGAAGGCCCGTTGTAGATCACTTTCGAATTTTTGGGTGCATTGCGTATATACATGTCCCAGATGAGAAAAGGAAGAAGCTCGATGATAAAAGTGAAAAAGGTGTATTTCTTGGTGTTAGTGAAACATCCAAGGCCTATAAATTATTCAATCCACAAACAGAAAAGATTGTGATCAGCCGAGATGTTATTTTTAATGAAGAAACTACTTGGGATTGGAATATGCAGCAGTCTACCCCAGTCCTATTTGAGAATGAAGTCGAAGAACAAGCCTTGATACCTGGAAATTCAGAGGATTATGCTCCTACAACCGCTGAAATATCTCCAACAGCTGCTGAAATTACACCAACTGGTGGAAATTTTCCAGCAGCTTTGGAAGAAACTGATTCAGCAGCTCAGTCACATCGGCGTACTCGAAAAAGGCCTGCATGGATGTCGGACTATGAGGTAACAGGAATTAAGGTAAATAATGATGCAATTACTCATTTTGCATTGTTTGCAGACTGCGACCCTACAGTTTTTGAGAGTGTTGTTAGAGAAGAAAAATGGAGAAAGGCGATGGATGTTGAAATTGAAGCTATTGAAAGGAACGATACTTGGGAGCTTATTGATCTTCCTGAGAAGCAGAAAACCATTGGCGTCAAGTGGGTCTACAAGACGAAACTGAAGGAAAATGGTGAAATTGACAAATATAAGGTGCGATTGGTGGCTAAGGGATACACGCAGGAGTACGGTATGGACTACACTGAAGTTTATGCTCCAGTTGCAAGGCATGACACCATTAGAATGGTAATTGCATTGGCGGCGCAAAATTCATGGCCTATCTTCCAATCTACACGGATATTTGGAGGAAGAGGTATTTATCGAACAACCTCCTGGTTATGTTAAGATTGGAAATGAGCATAAAGTTTATCGCTTAAAAAAGGCCCTTGATGGACTAAAACAAGCCCCCGGAGCTTGGTATAGTCGCATTGAGGCTTATTTTCTAAAAACGGGTTTTCAAAAGTGTCCATATGAGCATACACTTTTTGTGAAGATTGGGGATGATGCGAAAATGCTTATTGTATGCTTATATGTTGATGATCTTATATATACTGGGAATGATAGTGCCATGTTTGCTGAATTTAAGAAGTCTATGATGGATGAGTTCGAGATGTTTGATCTTGGTAATATGCGTTACTTTCTTGGATTAGAAGTGGTGCAATCTGATGATGGGTTATTTATTTTCCAAAAGAAGTATGTGCGAGATATTTTAGACAGGTTCAAGATGTTGAACTGCAATCCCACCAACACACCGTTGAGTTTGGCTTAAAACTGAACAAAGCTGGGAGAGGAACGAAGGTGGATAGTACGCTTTACAAACAAATTGTGGACAGTTTAATGTACCTAACTGCTACAAGACCCGACATTATGTATGTAGTAAGTCTTGTAAGTAGATATATGGAAAGTCCAACGGAGATGCATTTGTTAGCTGCAAAGAGAATTCTTCGCTACTTACAAGGAACGAAAGATTTTGGTATTTTCTACCAGAAAGGAGAAAAGTCAGATTTGATTGGCTTTACAGACAGTGACTATGCAGGAGATCAAGACAACAGAAAGAGCACTTCCGGTTATGTTTTTATGCTAGGCACAAGGGCTGTTTCGTGGTCTTCCAGGAAGCAAAAAATTGTCACTTTATCGAGTACTGAAGCGGAATTTGTTGTTGCTACAGCTTGTGCTTGTCAAGCTGTTTGGTTAAGAAGAATTTTTGAAGAACTACAATTCAAACAAGAAAGAGCAACTACAATTTTCTGCGACAACAACTCTGCTATCAAGCTATCAAAAAATCCTATGCTACATGGAAGGAGCAAGCACATTGATGTGAAGTATTATTTTCTGCAAGATCTCAACGATGAAGGAACAATAGAGTTGGAATATTGCCGAAGTGAAGACCAACTGGCAGATATCTTTATCAAACCTCTCAGGTTGTTTCCTTTCCAAAATTTGAGGAGGTTGATTGGAATTGGCACAATGGATGAGTTCAAGAAGCTGAATTTAAACTGAAGCTTGAGAGCTTTCAGTTTAAGAGAGGGTGTTAGTTTAAAATTTCAGTTTAGTAAATTAGAGTTTTGTTATACGTTAGGTTTGTCCTAGTCTTTAGGAAGTAATTTTAAACGTGGGCAACTATCTAGTTTTAGGAGTGTAGTTCCTAATTTTTAGCTTCAGGTTGTTTTGCTTATAAAGGATTGTAATTGGAGCTTTCAATTATTCAGTCAAAAAAATTCCTTCGATTATATTGCCTTCTCTCTTCTCTATCGTCTTTCAACTTATAAATATATATTTCTTGATACTGTTTTATCTATCAGTGGTTAGCTCATTGATAATTTTATTTTGAGTGGCTAAATAATCAATTATTAGTTTCTGGTTTTAATTACTAGTTTTGTTACCAAATTTTAATATAATGATTTTCCTTGGAAGAAATAAAGAGCTAATAGAAATATGTCCCTGTCTAGTATTAATAGCAAGTTAGTTTAATATTGCTCCCTCCGTTTATTGTTACTTGTTCAATATCGATTTTATGTACCATTTAAAAGAGCAACAAATAAAATGACAACTCTTTGAATATAATAAATTCAACATTTTAATAAAGACTATATAGTTAATAATAAGGATAGATTATGATATAATTAAGAGATAAATTATGTATTAATTTTTAAAATTGAACAAGTAAAAGTGATAGAATATCTATTAGTAGTATAGTGAACAAGTAAATGAACGGAGGAGTAATTTATATATCAATATTGAAAAGCTTTTTATTGTATTTTAAACCTTGTTTTCTCTCTCCTAATATATATGATCAAGTATCTATTTGTAGTATGGTAATGTACATGCATTTCACCATGACCTTAATTTCCTCATGAATTTAGGGGAGATTAGAGGGGTTGTGAGGACACTAGCTCCAAATTCATGAAGCACTGGTGTAATATATTGGGATATATTTGAGGTAGATAAATTATGTATTATTTTTATTTTAATATAACGTTACTTGAGCTGAGGTTCTTTGCTTTTTTTTATTTGATAATAGTTTGTCTACCTCTATCATGTAATAGTAAGATCTATATACACTCCAGCAGACTCTACTTGTGAGATTACACTAGGTATATTATATTAGTTGTTGGTATAATATGAAGTTTTACATAGTCAACTGTTATAAGAGAGAAATAATTAATTAATTAATAAATTGTCTCATTTTAGTGTGTATTTGGCTGTTGTACTAGCTAGTTCTGGCCAGCAATCGATCGGCAGAAACTGATGAACTCATAGTCAAAAGTGAACAGAGAAAGACAAGGATTAAGGAAAAAAGAATATCTCAGTTCTGGTTATGTTAGCATGCACGTTAATTAAAATTAAGATCAACCAACTAGGATTGTCGAGGAGTGGTAAGTATTCTTTTATCTTTAACCAGATGCATGTCTCAAGTTCGAGTTCCCCTGAGTGTAGAGTCACCCTTTAACTTGACCTCATTTTATATTTATGTCCTACAACTTTGGGTGTGCACAAATAGACAATTTAACTTGTATAAAGTTAAACAACTAGACACATGAGTCATACATGACATAATACACATAGGACACCACGTAAGATAAAAATTACCATGTAGGATGCCACGTAGGACGTATGTATCTATTTGTTCAACTTTATACAAATTTAAGTGTCTACTTGTGCACACCCAAAATTGAATGACATAAATGTGCATTGAAGACAAGTTAAAGGGCATATTTATGTATTATACTGATTAACATTAGTTGGTATTCGAATGATTAAATCATTTGCCAAATCGATTTAATGAATTTACCAACAAATAATTTTATTGATAATTCGGGGGTAAATCTCATATTAGTAAGGCTTATTCTAGTCACTAGTGGTACCATTTGAGAATTAGATACACACTAAGTCGTCTCTATTCAATTTTCACCGCCCCCTATCCCCCCTCTCCCCTACACACACACAAAAAAAAGGACCTCTAGTGGGGTAGCACTATTTTGAGTGAAGTTCCAACTAGCTAGGAGCCTAAGACCATGAAGTTCATGCAAATCATTTTTTATAACGAAAAAGTTACATCTTACATATAAGAATAACATATTTTGTATGCGTTTCTCAGTTTTCTTTACTGTTTCATTTATTTACTTCATATTGTGAAGCTTTTTAGTGAAATTTTTTGGCTTCACCTCTCTAGTTAGTCGTTATTAGTTTTTTTCTTTTTTGAACAATTAATACACTTAGTTAAGGTACAAAATTGAAGGTTTTGAAGC